TATAACATTATTGTTGGCCTTGTTGTCGTGGACAGGGGGAAGGAAGTTATGGCCTGCACAGTTCGACCGCCTCTTAAGGAGTGCGGACTGGGAATAGATTCAAGAAGGGGTAACCGAAACACTGATCCCATTACCTATCATACGCACATCATCGTCACAAGAGACAGAAACGAGGAACCAAAGAATCACATGAGGTTCGCCGAAGTCATGGTGTCCGTAGTGTCTCGTCTAGTTTGCGTAACTTCCTACGGCTCCAGTAGGCATGTTTGGCTTTTCGCTCTAAGGTATTTTTTGAAAAATTTCAGTAAAATGACAGTATTCTGCAAAAACTAGAGTCCAATTATTTTGGTTTGAACGCGTGAAACAACTCAGCAGTGCCAAGCCAACGTGGTCCAGACAAACGCCTGCGTTCTGATGTACAGTACTTGCACTTTCGCCAGTGATGCTCAGTCAAAGGCTGGATTAAAATATCAAAACGCGACTTTCAGCGAATAGGCGATGGATCGGTGACAAATCTGTGATACTATTAAAGCAACAACACGTTTTATCAAGATTACAGGAATACCTCGACGGTATCGTTGGGTAACTATACAGTCCAAACGTTCTCGGGCACAAAAACATGCTACGCAATAAAAATTGGTCAAACAAATACAATCGTTGAGTGCCTGAGTGCCAGTAAGGATATTCCCGATAATGGGATCAAAACCCTGCCTACCAGAACCAAGTCAACAAGTAAACATTCCCAGTAGTCAGTCGGAGGATGAGCAGTCAAATCACAGTACAACCCTAAGTTGAGCCAAAAATATATCGGGCTCAGCGAAGCGACGTCACGTCGTCAACAGTACAGCACCATATAATAGGAAAGTGAAGCATTCACGATAAGTCTCAATCAATAAGAGGATGAGTAATGGGCATAAGGCCGAAGAAGTCAGTTAAATAACCAAATAACACCACGCCGGCTGGGGTCAAGGCACAATATCCATAACGAGGATAAAAATAATTAACTTCAACACTGTCAAATTGGATGATCAGGAGGTACTTCCATGTCATTTTTTCCGTTGCGGTGTGTTTATCATGAATATGGTCCAGAAAGGGCCAAGGGAGTAATGGAGTTTAGTGGTTTTTTGAGTCAGATAATGGCTATTATTTCCGCTGGCTGGTTATATTCAGAATGAAATTCAGTATCGAATCTCCTCACGGAGCTGCTCCTGCAAACTGGAAAGAAAGAAGAGGCATAAGCAGATACGTAAAAGATAATTACTGCGTCATCCATTTTAGAGAAGGGAGAAGTCCCCATTCTTTTAGACCTATTCAAACTTTGTATACATTTTCAGGTATGTGGAGTCAACTACATAGCTTTCTAATTTTAAGGTTCTTAAAGTTTCTAGATTTAGGGCCAATCGTAGTGGCTTTAGGGAAAAACAGTATACACTGAGTTTTTATAGTGAGGGGGGCAACCAGTACTCATCACATGTCTGTATGCAACCGCAAACCCATCAGTGTACGAGAAATTCGAGGACTCCAACAGCTCTGATTCATACTCTTGGGGTCCAAGCACGTTAACATCGGACACGATTTGTCAAATATGACTACGTGCCGATTACTTGATCACGCTTCGTATTTGTGGATGTAATATGGATGTCAGGAAATTTATGGATATACGTGAACTGAAGGAATTCGTTGAGTAGACGTGGAAACCGAAGTGGGGACATGCGAGTGCTAACACAGTGCAGGAGCTCATTCCATAACTTGCTGTACTGCACCATAAGGAATCCTGACCTAAGTTTAAGATGGTAGTTTTCGACAGGTACAGTACGCTCACGATTGCATAGACTGTATGGGTCTTAAAACTAGGAGACCAAGAGGTATAAGGAATGCCACGTAAGGGGTGAAAAAATAGGTTAAGGTCGAGGCTTCTTAGTCAGAGTGGGTCAATCTTCAGTTCCTTACACCTTCCTTCACAATCAAGCTCTTCATGACGGCCCGGTACATAGCGAGCAAACTTTCTTCAAATATTCTCAGTCTGTATCCTATCTCAAGCACACATATTGCTGAAGACGATTGTGCTATGTTCAAGAACTAAGCAGATCATTGCCTTGAATGAAAGTTGTCTAGACCCAGTGGTGTATACGTGTTTAAGCAAAAGGCCAACTAAGCGCCTATATTTGGATACAAGAGGCTGGGCATACTCCGTAAACGGTAAGTTCCAAGAATGCCTAATACCTAAATCACATGCTGAGTTATATGGCTGCAACACAGGACCGCCAAAGTGTAAACTGACGTTTAAGTGGGAATTATTGAAACAGAGAATTCTGGGTTTACCACAGTCGAGTGGAAGCCACCGTATTTCGCTCCAAGCGAACAAATACGTCGGGCCGTCCTGGATTCTATTAAAATCCTCAAGAAGTGATGAGTGGTGGCAGCTACATTCAATTTTCAAGTCATCGGCAAACAGGTGAGGCCTACCATATTCTCTTCGTTGGGGATATCATTTATGTAAAGGAGAGGGAGTAAGGGGTCCAATGTACTACCTTGAATAACGCCACTCAGAATAGGCCTTAGGGAGGAATAGCTGTGACTGAACCTTAGTGTCTGAGTACACTGCTTAGGAAATGAGTTTGTACACGATGGTACAAGGTCACTAACTGCAAATGATTCGAGCTCCAGAATTGACTGATTATGAGTTATTTTGTCAAATGCTTTTTGAAGTCAAAAAACAGAGCAGTTACGAAAAGACTTTCATCTAGTTTGCTGGTGATTTCCTCAAATAATTGTGGTTCGAAATAAAGCAAACACATTACCGTCAACTGTATATGTGTCATTGCATTCTTTTCACATTCTGGCATCGCAGTACGCTTTCTGTTGTATTACTGCCTTCTTCGTTTGCCAAGGAGCTGAGTGGTCACCAAGATTGGAATCTGGAGGCTATTGTTCAGTTATCCACTATCATACACATATGTAACTCAGATTATAAAACTTTCTGTAGGTTGTAAAAATAATGGTAGTATACTTTATGTGGCTTCACGTGCATGGATAAAGACTAATTTTGCAGCCACGACCTCCGCATTTTAAGCTGTAGCATCTCATCTGGACTGGGGATAAATTACGCCTTCGCGGTGGCCACCATGAGCACTCAGAATTTGTCCGCTAAAACTCCTAGATCATATGACTGGTTCCTAAGGCTATGGACGCCGGTTTGGCAAAGCCATCACACCACCTCGTTCACATGGCTTAACCACACTAGTCCTGGTTTTGTATTCCTTCAAATCATGACTATCCAGGTATCCACTAGTTGAGAGTTAACTTTCCTGTTTCAGCGCCTGCTTCCCAGTTCTGCCAGAGTCTCTCTTTTGCCATTTTATGGTCACCAGTCAACCCCTTTGTAACATTTGACCCCTCTACGGCTGTTTCTGAGCCTCATAAAGAGCTTTCGCTGTCTTTAAAACCTCCACATTTAGTATGCCGGCTACCCTTTTTAATTTGGATCACCGCTTCAACTTGTTCTCCTTTCGCAACAATGGAACCCATTTTCTCGTTTGAATGCTTAAGATGCCTCATTTTTCGCTACACAAAACCAAACGATGGCTGTGAAAGCCATTCTGAACAGAAATGAATGTCAGGTAAATGACGGAAACCTAAACTCAAATGATTGCCTCAAAGCTAGAAAAATAATGAATGACCCAAACTGTGGTGTTCCCCGAGTCAAAAGTTACCAAAAAGCTTGGGACGTGATTTTCATAACAAAAGCCGAGTTCCCCAAAGGCGCGAAAAAAGACAATCTTTTTTAAATCACGCAGTACAAATAAAGCCAAACTATTGGCTTGTTTTGTACACTCATCCAGCATTTTTCGTCTCGTAGACCGAATAATTAAAAAATTCTATTCCTACATACATTCCGTAATTATTCCAAAACCTTTGTTCACTGATATCAACATCCTTTGCTTATTCCGAAAAAGCCCAACCTGGCAAGATTGGTACAGATACTACTGAGGTTCACCTACTCTCGAATATCATTGTTCCAAAAGGCTGCATGGCCATAACGCGTTCAGTTTTCGCATTCGAGTTACTGAAGAACATTTGTGGTGCATTTCACCGTCTCACAGTGACTCTGTCCAATAAAACCCCCCATGGAAAATTACTTAAAGAGATCATCAGACTCCGTACCGTCTGCAGTTTATACGAGATCTGTTGTCTAAGGGCTCTGAACGTTGCAAATACATTGGACTTAAAGTTCGCTCGCCACCGTTGATTTTCTACCTTCTAGCCAACCGTGCTGACCTTCTTAACATCTCTTGTAAGTTAGCGTCTTCACTCTTTCCCACAAGCCTGCAACGGAAATTCATTGTTGTCATTATATACTGAGCTACCGGACGCAGGCCAGCTTTACATGCATGATCGGTTTTTGTCCCTAGTAATGCTTTTTAAGTCAACAAAAGGGTAGCCAGTGATTAGGGCTAGACAGTAATCGAGAACCCTCAACAATCATGCAGTTATTTCGCAGGTTACATCACCAATTTCGAAACCATTCATCGACTTGGTACTGGGTCTTGCATGATATTAAATTTAACTGTACGCGTATGAGTACCTTTTGATGATCACTCGAGTAAAAAGTACAACTGCACGATGCGCTGTATACTTTGGCGGCCTTCTTACACCTGACAGTACCCAGAATCAATATAGAGTTTGTGACTGACTCTCATTTATTTTACCTAGTGAATGACAGTAATGGAAACTAAATGGATACACTTATCCAGACAAGGTTGGCTCATACACAATTTTTGGTCACGCATAGTTCATTTACCCATTTGATCACAGACCGCTGAGCTCTTCTAGAAAGCGTATGATCTAGTTTATAAAAGCTTTTTTTCTCACTACTTGTTAAAACCGTCACACTGTAAACCTTTGAAATATATTATTACTACTAACGCATTCACATAAAAATGCGCTTTGTGCGTGCAGAACTAAGAAAATGAGTGTTTAAACGTGTTTGACCTGAAGAAATGCTGGAAATATTACCAAAGAAAATAGAGGTAGGTAAGACCAAAGTGGATACATTATTTTTCACACGTGGGCCAGGGGGAATTGATCGTTAGAAACGTGCTGAGCTAAGCCTTCGGTGGCGCTTTCGGAGGAAAACGAGGATAAGGGTGGAAGGCGTAATAGATTACATGTATAAATTTTTATTTGATCCAAAGTTTGGGCTTTTTATTTGCCCCTAAAACGCCCTCATATGCCGTATTCTGGCCGCATATCTCGCTCCCATCCCCCGACCGAGAATCCTAAATTAACCCTGGTTTATGTTGCCGTTCGCACAACACTGAAACTATGTCGATCTAGGGCTGCATCCACCCAGCTTCATATCATCCAGTGAGTCTCTTGCTGCTAAATATCCCCTCTGTTTCTCAAACGCGATTCAATTTCAGGGCCATGATCAAAGCTGTATTAAATAGCTGCAGTCTTTTACATGTGTTCATCAAACTGACAGTTGCTGCGCGACTTCGACGCAACCATGTGATTCTGATGCAGATTATCACCGAATTTCGCTCTATTCTATCCTTTCAGCTGGTGTATTTTGATGATTAGTCTCTGTCGTCTTCTGAAGAATTGAGTTTTTCACTGAGACTGGGGCTTCCTGAACAACTTAAACCATTTGTAACTTTTGATCAACCGGAAACTCTTCTATGTGTCTCGCCATCAACTAATGATGGGTGGCACACATGATGGCGTTACCGCGGAGATTAGCGGAAAAAAAAAGAGATAATGCAACGTAACTGTACTGAATATTTGCGAGGTAGACCCTGGTAACAGCGTAAAAGACAGATTGCTTTTGCGCGGAGCATGTCTTGAACACCATGTGCACACACTCGTTGGAAAAGGAGATCTTTAAAATTTGCTTCGCCAGTCGTGTTCAGTTAGGGTATTGATGTGGGTACGGGTAACGTCTGGCCCTCATAAAGTAAAACAAAGGCGGCCCACACTTTTAAGAACATGAAGGCATCGGCGGGTAAGACTCCCTTTTTGCATTTGTATAGGGCTAGTGATTCCAATGAGATATACCCAGTGGCATCCACATTGTCCAGACCTTCCCTCAGCCCGAAGTAAATGGAAGCAGTTCAAGCAGTGATCAAGTGAAGGTTGGGTGTACACAGGTAGATGAAGTAAACTATAGGAAACCTCCCTTCCTCAACGAAAGAGTGAATATTTATTTGGTGACCATGGCTTCTCACTTTACAGTGTGATGGAATGGTGGATTAATATGCATAGCAGTTTCGAAGGCATCACGAAAGCCTCTCTTGGAACAGCAGAGACAATCCAGATACAAGCAACAGAAGTAGCGTACTGACAGACACCAAGAATGACCACAGGAAGCATATTGACACCTGCACGGTATGTTTCAGGGCATCATCACGCCTACATTTCACAAAGTGCTACTTACAAGTTCAGCAGTCAGGTGAAATGACCCAGTCGTGTTATCTTTTTATCATTTAGAGTCAAAACCCTTAAAAATGGTGCAGACAAACTGGTGAATATTAGGTGGAACTGGTATTCTTCATGGGCTGGCATCGGTTGGGGAACCACTGAAAAACTAGGAGCACTGGGCGGCCGTTTTGTTCATGTATGGGACTCCTAAGCAGTATGCACCCACGACCCCGCCAGGGATCAGATGATGTATACTACTTCTAAATTAAAAAATCCCTATTCACCTCGAAAATTAAGTGGTTGTAAATCTTTTCGATTCCCTGGCCTATCCACTTAACGACAGTATTTTCGTTTCTGCCACATAAGTAAGTTCCCCACATGCAGGAGAAGGCATGCCTAATTCTAGGACCCATTCGGTATATTGGCCACACATAAATCAGAATAATCTTTCAGGATCCAACTGCTGCTAGTGGTGGTTCCACGCACCTTGTTGGATCTTTCTCCACCACACTGGTTCACCTGATATAGCAGACACTGAGAGGGTATTTTTATCTTTATTCTTGAGTTTTCCAAAATAGTGACGCTAGCTATATACAAACGTCCACAAGGACAGTTTCTTGTCCAGCCCAGTTAAAATTTTGAGTGGCTAGGCTTTGCTTCTTGAGAGGTAAAACCTTGTGTGAATAAATGGCTTGTTTCCTACGAGGCAAATAACTCTAAACCACAACTTAATGACCCTTGGCTTTGAAGGTATAGTTGCAGTGGGTCTTTTAGTAAATTGTTCCGAGAAGTGTAACGTCTGGGGTACATGAACCTTGTTAGCGTAATCACCAATATCTCAACACGTGTAGTTAGGTTTTTTGGTGCCTCATAAATGTTCTGTCAATGTTCCTAAATACCATTTCCAACTTGAAAGTTTCTTTCATATCTCGTTATCTGCTCTACGTTTATCTTTTTCAGAAAGTGAAAGCTAAGCAGACGTCGATTCTTTTTGGAAGCACCCGAATAAACTGCATGAACGGACAAGAAGTGATTGTTCCTATTAGACGAAACCGAATAAACAATAGAAGCAAAGGTCTAAGGTGGGGATAAACCCTGATGTATACTAAGAAACTCGGCAGGCTTACCTGATTTTGATGAGGATGGAGGAGTAATTAGATGAAATTATCATTGTCTCCAGATACCAAAGGCCATTTACAAATAAAGTTCTTGGCTGCCCACTTTTATTCTCACAAACTGTGAGGGTCTCACACAAGTTAATACGCCCACTATGTGATGTTCAAAGATATATGAGAACACACTGGTTTGCATGAAAAATGTTATGCCGTGGCCACATGGAAGCAGTGGCGTCTTTCTCGTTTGATTCTTTCAACCGAACATTATATAGACTTCACAGGTTCACTGAAGAATATTCCCAGAGTATATTTCTAACTGCAAGCCTTCTGCCAATGTTTAGGAAGGCAGACAAATTATCGGTGTTGACAGTTGTTTCTTTCAGGACCCAGGCAACGAGCATATGAGGGAAGAAGAAGGCGACTTGCTTCTGATAACCTTGCATTCAGACGCAGACTAATGCAGACATGGATGCACGTCAGCAAAAATGGAGAACTTATATGTGGCAGTGGCCGTCTCGCTTTTACACTTGGCCAAGTTGTGGAAAAGGAAAACGAACACAACATATAAAATGCAGTCCCTGACCGACTGCGGGTCACCTTACGTGGTCCTAATGCTCTCTTCACCCTAAGGCATTCAGGACTATTCAGATATGACAAAAGCATAGTGATTCGACTGCTCATCGTGTGCAGTTGGAGAAGTAAAACTTCGAATGTAATATCCGGTTTCTTCTGGTCTTAACTAAGAACACGCAGCATTCCTGAAAACTTGTGCAAACATTTCCATAGAATAACAATGAAAATGTTTTCATATTCATAAATCGAAGTCCGCGTAGGGTTCAAGTGAGCCTGTAGAGATAGGTACCTATTCTTCCAAGATGTATTACAGATACATCCTTTCCCGTCATTCCTGGCGCTTTTCTTTTTCCCGTTGATAGCATCAACTTAAGTTCCGTTTCAGTCAACCCATACCAACTTACTGAAAGTACTTCGTCCGCGATACTAGGAATTGTTGACAAAAGCCTATGGACAAGGCTGCATTGAACGTTTCGCTGCTTCCTTAGCAATTACAAATCGAGCGCACTTTTCGATCGGTGTTCTTCAAACGTCTACTCTTGAAGCAGCTCCTACAGTTAATTGTTTGATAGGTTCTAGTAGCAGTGCAAATATTAACGAACGGTTCAACCACAGAGACGAATTTACTTGTTGGCCCTAAACGCACCTCACATATGGCTATGCGAAAAATTGTTGTTCTAGTCCCTTGCATCATGTGGACTGGTCGAGCATGAGGCAACACACCCTAGATAAACTCCAAAAATGAAGCTGCGTATTTCAATATTGAACAAACTGAAAGTCCCCATATCATCCCTAACCATTTAGACAGCAACTCTTCCAATGTGTTTCAATACACTACAGCAACTTATAGAAATGGGACAAATCTGTACTGTTGTCATCTGTGACACAGAAAGATACAGAAAGGCCTGGTTCTACGTATTCTTCTTCGTCCCATAGCTGTGCGGATGACTACTGTTAATCCAAGTCGAAGAAAATGATTTCAAAGTAACGATTATCTCATGGAATAGCAACCTGCCCATGTGGGCCAGCCTTACTCACTGCTTGTAGCACAACCATCTAAAATTGCTTCAAAACAACAGTAATTGTGTAATTTCAAAAACGCTTTCTGCCCTCCATATCACGGATAGTGACCCAGTAGATGCTTTTACCAGAGCGGGTGAACAGTCGAAGCTGCCTTTAAGCGGTTGTTAATGAAATACAAGAAGCTTTCGCTCAACTGGCCTTCGCTTTTGAAATTGGTGGACCGCTAGTTCCTGTGTCTGAGAACCTGTGTGCAGGGACAACAAGGAGAGAGATAAAAACATAAAAACGTTGCGGTTATAAAGGAATTGGTCCTTGAGTTCACGCTGTGAGCTCAGATGGGTGTTGAGTTTGTTTCAAGAACTCTGACGATGTAGCCCGAATATTCTAAGCCCTGACGATTCATAGGGAGTAACCGTTATGCTCGATGTCTATCTCACTGTTCAAACTCTAACTTCTGGTTGCTCCCTTAGGATTCCTAATGGGCATTAGCCTCAAAAAACATTGAGGCATGTGACCTGGTACATTTAAAACGTTATACGTCATCGCTGGTTTACTTTTCGCTAATTCCTATTCAAAGAGATATGGATTTAGTGCCTCCTGGTGCTCACTGACCGTTGGAGCCATGGTCCACTAATGTGTTTAATGCAGCGCCACTGGCTGCATTCTGAATGGGTCTCATCTCTTGAAGTGTGGAGGAAAACGATATTCCGAAGCTTATGTAGTAGAGTATGAAAATATTCAGGTTTTGATGGGAAAATCCGTGATCGAACTATCCCAAGATTCGCTACAGGACTACGAGTGGCAGATGCGAGTGAAACGTTTTATCACAGTCAGCGTAAGATTTAAGGTCACAAAGAACCAAGACGTCGAGGTCTTCTTTCACTAAAGATCTCTTCACCAGTT